CTGCGAAACGCTGGCTGTTGCTGCACCCGCCCCCGCCGCCGCGCCCGCCACCACACCACCGCCCGGGCGTCAACAAGAAAACGAGAGAATCAATCAGTAAACATCGACGTCGACGTGCCACGGCCCGGCCCCGGGCCCCGGGGAATGTTTTACGCACGAGGCAGAGAGCAGTGGCACGAGGATGAGGTCTCTGATACTGGAGCGAGGCTGGGGGCGGGGCCGTCGTCGGTCCAGGGGGATGCGTCACCACGCGAGGTGAGGGCGTCGTCGGCCCTGGCCTGACCTTATCCCACATCGCAGACCCTTGTTTTTGGAAGCAGCTCCCGCTTGGCGCGCCGCCGCCGTCTAATCGCTCGCTGGCATTGAGAAGAAAGTGGGAAAGCGATAGAGAGGTTGTTGTTTTACCGCGGGGGAAAGAGGGAGGAGGGGGAGGCCGTCGGGGGCCGCGGTGCCGGCCGGCGGCGTGGTCCAGCCGCGCGCCGCGACCTGGTGCCAGTCAGTGGTGGACGCAGCACCGCGTCGCGCGAGCAAGGGGCCGAGCAGGACCGCGAGGACACGGAGAGCATACATTCAAGCCCTGAAAAACAAGTAGACCTTAGAGATGATACGCGCGTGCGGAGTGCTGAGGACGGCGATGGCGACCGCCCCGGGGACGCCGATGGGTCTGTCGCTGCTGCGCCTGGTCCGGGCGGCCAGCTCGGCCGCGAGCAACAAGGCCTTCCCCAAGGACGAGTTCGCCTCCAGGCACATCGGCCCCAGGGACTTCGAGCAAAAGGAGATGCTGGACTTCATCGGCTACAAGGTGAGTCGGAGTGGAGAAGCACAGCTCCGCCCTTTCCGTCCCCTGCGCGCCATGGCTCAAAAATGCCACGTCCGCTAATGCACCTCCGTGTCCTCAGTCCTTAGATGAGCTGACACTAAAGGCCGTGCCAAAGAACATCCAGTTCAACGCGAAGCTCGACATTACCCCGCCAATGTGTAAGTACCACTCGATCACCGTTCAGAAAAACTGCAACAATCTCGGAGAAAATAGTTTCTAGTTTTAGTTAATGTATCTGGTGGACGATATTGATCGGTCTCGTAACAACCCACGCAGCTTTTTGCTGCAATAAAATTATCTCAAAATTGGGCAAGATGTGTCTCGCGGTTGGCGACCAAAGCAGCCGAACTCGAGCGGCCGTGGATTGATTATCTTTACGCCACTGCGCGACTCTCCCCTCTCTTCTTTCCGCCGCCCGCCGCCCTCCCTCTAGGGGGTCAAGTCTCCCGGGGTCAGCGACTGTCCGTCGGTGGCTGTCCGGAACGCGTGGGCTCCCACGTAACGCCTCGTCTCTAGCGATGCAATCATTGATCACGTCACCCAAACTAATACATACGCCCGCGTTTTCCGTGTCCTACAGCCGAGTACGACCTCATCGAGCGCGCCCGACAGGTGGCGGAAAAGAACGAGATATGGCGCTCGTACATCGGCATGGGGTACTACAACTGCTGCGTGCCCCACGCCATCATGCGGAACGTCTTCGAGAACCCCGGCTGGTACGAGAGCACTGACATTTCAAAGGGAAGGAGCCGGAGGGATGCGAGGATTGGGGAAGTAATTGTCCTGCACGGGGTGTTTTCAGGACGACGCAGTACACACCTTATCAGCCAGAGGTGGCACAGGGCCGCCTGGAGAGCCTGCTCAACTTCCAGACCATGGTCTCCGACCTGACCGGGATGGAGGTCGCCAACGCCTCGCTCCTGGACGAGGGTACTGCGGCAGCGGAGGCTCTCAGCCTGTGCTTCAGGTGACTACCCCAACAACTACCAAAACGACCGAAGGCTCACGACGTCGTCATTGCCTTCCCGACTTTCCTTCCTGCAGAGGTTTGACAGACTCTTGTTGCTTCCCGCCACAGGCAAAACAAGAGGCGGAAGCTGGTGCTGTCCGACCAGCTGCACCCGCAGACCGTGGGCGTGGTGCAGACGCGCGCCGACGCGCTGGGCCTGACCGTCGAGGTCGTCGACATCAACACGGCCGACTTCTCCAACCGGGACGTGGCGGGCGTCCTCATCCAGTACCCGGACACCAACGGCGACATCCACGACTTCACGGCCATCGTCGACCAGGCACACGACAACGGGGTAAGCGAGGTTTCAGGTGGGCTGACAGGGGGGTCGATGTGATTTGGGGGTTGCATACAGCGATTTGCTTACCTCACGGGCGGCTTCCTGGGGCTGACCGCAGCCCCCATCCCCTTAAAACCACGCCTGGGCTCTTGCTCTAACGCTGCCGCACCTCCCTGCCTCCCGCAGACCCTGGTGGTGATGGCGACGGACCTGCTGGCGCTGACGCTGCTGCGGCCGCCCTCCGACATGGGCGCGGACATCGCCGTGGGCTCGGCGCAGCGCATGGGCGTGCCCATGGGCTACGGCGGCCCGCACGCCGGCTTCTTCGCGTGCCGCCAGTCGCTGGTGCGGCTCATGCCCGGCCGCATGATCGGCGTCACGAGGGACGCCAACGGCGGCGACGCCTACCGCCTCGCGCTGCAGACCCGCGAGCAGCACATCCGCAGGGACAAGGCCACCTCCAACATCTGCACGGCCCAGGCGCTGCTCGCCAACATGGCCGCCATGTACGCCGTGTACCACGGCCCGACCGGGCTCCGCGACATCGCGCTCAAGATCCACAACATGACGCTCGTGCTGGCGGCCGGTAAGTGGTGCCGTGGCCGTGTGGTCCGTGCTCGTTTTCTCACACTTGGTTCGTCAACTTGCTCACCTCGTTTGCTCCACCCCCTAGGTCTGCGCTCCAGCGGCAACCAGGTGCTCAACCCCCTTTTCTTCGACACGCTCAAGGTGCGCCCGAAGCTCTCCCAGGGTGAGGTGGTCAGCCGGGCGGCTGCGAAACAAATCAACCTCCGTTCATTCGATGACGGATGCCTGGGCGTCTCCCTGGACGAGACCGTCAAACTAAGCGACGTCCAGGACCTCCTCGCTGTCTTCGGCAGCGACGACACTGTGGAGGGCGTGAGTGCAAACAGAATCAGTGGAAATACATATCCGGGGAATGACCGCAGACTGACCGTCACCCTTTGTCTAGTTGATGTCCCAGGACGACGTGGTGTCCAAGGGCAGCATCAAGGAGTCCGTGTTCCGCCGCACATCTCCCTTCCTCACTCATGCTGTGTTCAACTCGCACCACTCCGAGGCTCGGCTGGTGCGCTACATGAAGGCCCTGGAGAACAAGGACGTGTCACTGGTCCACTCCATGATCCCGCTCGGGTCTTGCACCATGAAGCTCAACGGCACAACGGAAATGATGCCGTGCAGCTTCCGCCACTTCACTGACATCCACCCGTTCGCACCGGTGTCTCAGACTAAGGGCTACCAGCAACTGTTCCAGGAGCTGGAGCACGACCTCTGCGCCGTCACCGGCTACGACCGGATATCGTTCCAGCCCAACAGGTAATGAAATTGTATCACATACTGTTATGGAATATAATGAGGACTAGAGGAAGCACGTTGTCTGAAGCTGTCCTCTCACTTTGCAGTGGAGCACAAGGAGAATATGCTGGTCTGCGAGCAATCCAAAGCTATCATGAGCACAATGGTGATGGTAATAGGAAAATTTGCCTGATCCCTGTATCTGCCCATGGGACAAATCCTGCATCTGCACAAATGGCGGGTATGCAGGTGGAGCCGATAAATGTTAACAAAGACGGCTTAATCGATATGGGCCACCTAAAGGCAAAGGTAAAATTGGCTCTAGTTCACTTTTCTGGTTAAAATTTTAGAAATAAAGGGGTTTAATATTAATTGAATACATGTTGCAGGTTGAGGAGCACAGCAAAAATCTCTCATGCCTGATGATAACATATCCATCCACTAACGGTGTGTTTGAAGAGACTGTCGCAGATGTCTGCAAACTAGTCCACGAACATGGAGGCCAGGTGAATTTCAGCTTCAGCCAATTGCAATATCTAAAATTTCAAACTCATAAAATAAACATAATTCAATTTTTAATGCAAGGTTTATCTGGATGGTGCAAATATGAATGCTCAAGTAGGCCTTTGTCGTCCTGGTGATTACGGATCTGATGTGTCACATCTGAACTTGCACAAGACATTCTGCATTCCCCATGGTGGAGGTGGTCCTGGTATGGGACCTATAGGAGTGTAAGTTAATAAAATGATGTCACTTTTAAATACTGTTTAAATGACCCAGAATTTCATCATAATATTGTCTAAAAATTAAATGTTTTCAAGAAATATTTTATATTTTACAGGAAAGCACACCTTGCTCCATTTTTACCAGGTCACCCTGTTATTAATCCTATGGCTGATATGGGTGAAGATGCAAAGTCATTTGGAGTAGTGAGTGCTGCTCCTTATGGATCTTCAGCTATTCTTCCTATATCATGGGCATACATAAAGGTTGAACTCAACTAACAGCAAACCAGTGGAACTTAAACAACTTTTCACAACAAATTCTAATTTAGATATGCTTCTTTTATTACAGATGATGGGTCCTCAGGGACTGAGAAAGGCAACACAAGTAGCAATTTTGAATGCAAACTACATGAGTAAGAAACTTGAAGGTCATTACTCAACTTTGTTCAGAGGAGCAACAGGCCTTTGTGCTCATGAGTTTATCATTGACGTTCGTGAATTTAAGAAAACTGCAAAAATTGAGGCTGTAGATATTGCGAAGAGACTTATGGACTATGGTAAAGAAAATAACAACTCACAATATGCCATTTGTATTTCATGATTTTCTGATATTTGTGGATCGCCTGGCTTCGTCAGTCACCATCTTGCTTTTGAAAAAAAGCACAAGATGTGAGGCCGGCCATCTAAAAATTTTAACTTTCAGACCTTGAAGTTTTTTCCCATTCACAGAGAGCTTAATACAGAAAATTGATACACATTCACACCTTTAGACTAATACTTACGATCATCTTATTCCAGGATTCCATGCTCCAACAATGTCATGGCCTGTGGCAGGTACTTTAATGATAGAGCCAACAGAATCAGAAGATAAACTGGAGCTGGATAGATTCTGTGAAGCACTTATCTGTAAGTTCTTTAATTTTAATGAATATCATAGAATCAGTTTTAGTCAAATTAAGTTAACTAACATTAAAATTTCACAGCCATTAGGCAAGAAATCCTAGAAGTTGAAGAGGGTCGTATGGATACCAGAATCAACCCACTGAAAATGGCACCTCACACCCAGATGCAAGTTATTAATAGTGAGTGGGATCGACCATACACAAGAGAGCAAGCAGCTTTTCCAGCGGTAAGGATACAATGATCAATTTCACAGAAAGATGTTTTAATTCTGTTGCTGAAATCCTAACACAGCATTATTTTGTTACAGCCATTCGTACGAGCAGAGAACAAAATATGGCCCAGTGTTGGACGGATAGATGACTTATATGGAGACAAGCATTTAGTGTGCACATGCCCTCCTATACTGCCAGAATTCAATGCATAAGGCGTGTATTACTGTGATTCAATTCTGAATGTACATGTACCTGAAAAGCTGTAGGTTTTTAAGATTTAGTTAACTAAGAATTATTTTACTGACAACAATCTTTGTATGATGTAGATTGCAGTTATTATGTATGTCCAATGTAAACTCTAGCTTTGGGAAGGAGTTTAATATAAGACTGATAA